TAAACATAACAATGTTTTGACGGAAGGAGTTTGGGGTTAATTTTCTTCTAACTAAATTTTTGTTTCTATTATTATTTATTATATTGAAGGCATACATTTGCATAAAATAGAAAAACAAAAACATAAATAAGCAAAATCTAAATATTCGTTTGATTATATTAAGACTTAATTTGTTTATTTTCTTCATTTGAGTTGTTACGGTATAATTTGTCTATAGATTTGTCTATATATACAAATAGACACTATTGCGGCACAAGTTGAATACTTCAACTTCTCCTAAGCTTCACAAAGTTAAAAGAAACGATAAACGATAGTTTACTTTCATAGTTAAATGCTTCTAAACCAAAGGCAGTATAGAGAATACTTACTAAACTCCGGGATATCAAGAATTAGAAACTTGTATTTTATAAAAAATTAGTAGAAATTTTTATAAAATTTTTTTTAAGGAAAATTTCTCGGAAATTTTTGATCGAAAGATTTCGCCTTAATCTATGAACAATTTTCTTTAATTTAATGAAATGTTCCATATTTTCCTTCGTGAGAAAGGTACATAATATGTGCATTGTACATACATATAAGTTTATGATTCCGTTTGTAATTATACCCTTCACCTTTAGAGGGTATATATAAGTTTGTCATTCCGTTTGTAATTTTTACAATATAATTTTCCAACCCTTAAAATTAAATGTATTGTGGTTCCTTATAGATATCGTAATCATTTAAGCCGTGTCCATCCGTCTGTCTGTCTGTCTGTTTAAATAAATTTTCTGAAGACCCCAGATTTCCATGGGATCCAAATCCTCAATAATTCTGTCGGACATGCTTTCAAAAAGTTTTCTATTTAAAATCAGAAAAATCCGTCCATAAATAACGGAGATATAAGCAAAAATCCTAGACAACCTCTGAAAATTTCATCAAAAAAGACAATGTATTATTTGCTTCGACAAAAAAGCAAAAAAAAACATTGCTTATTTAAAAAAAAAAACATATGTTTGGTTGTGTGTTGGTTTAATGCTTTGCATATTTTGTTTTTGTTTCGTTTTGCGTTGCTCTTGTTTTGTTATTTCTAAAGAAATGATAGAGTCGGTAAAAATTAAATAAATTGAAATTTTATAAAATCTTTTTTTAAACACACTATGGTGAAGGGTATATATATTACTTGTTTCTATAATATAATTTCCGGACCCTATATTCTGGATTCTTATAGATAGCGGAGTCAATTTAGCTATGTCCGTCTGATCATCCGTCCATCTGTCTGTCAATGTGTATGATGAAGTCAGTTTTCAGAAAACCCCATATCTTCCGAATCTTCAATAATGCTATCGGTAATGCTTTCGGGAAAAGCACTTTTTAAAATGAGCAAAATTGGTCTAATAAAAACAAAACAAAGCAAGAATGAAGTTTCTAGAAACATGAAATTAAGCATGTTTAGCACGTAGAAACTATAAAATTGAAAATTTGGTACTTTTTCTTTAAAAAGGTACTTTAAGAATTTTCTGCAATATTGAACCAAGAACCATAAAACAAGTGAGAGTGTTATATTCGGCTGTGCCGAATGTCATATACGCACCATCAAAAATAATCAATATTGAACCAAGAACCATAAAACAAGTGAGAGTGTTATATTCGGCTGTGCCGAATGTCATATACGCACCATCAAAAATAATCACTCATCAAATTAACTGACCGTTTTTCATAAAAATTTTTAGACAGATTTTGTTTCATATAAACATGTTTACATCAAATATCATCGCTATACTTGCATTTGTATGTCAGTAGTAAGCATTAAAGTAATTTTCTGGAGGCAGGCTTACATGGGCGGGTAGCCGACACTTTCCGCATGAAATTCGGTGGGAAGATTTAAGTACCTATAAAAGTTTCTTATAACAAATTTCATAACTGCACACGTATTTTTAAGCCAGAAATTATCTATATGCGGGTAGGGTCAATTATGGACCGATCCTCAATAAATTTGGTAAAGAGATCTTAACTCGTATAAAACTTATATTGGTCGAATTTCATCGTTTTACTCGTATATTTAAGCCAGTAATGAGCTTTAAAGTCTATATGGAGGTAAATCATATGCCGATTCTCAGAAAAGTCAGTAGAGAGGATCCACATATAATTTGGGAAAAAGGTTTTGGCTCGTAAGAAACTTACTTATGCCAAATTTCATCGTTGTATTCGTATTTTTAAGCCACTAATGAGCGTTTAAGTCATTCTCTGAAGGGCACCTTATATAGGAGGTAGGGTCAATTATAGACCGATCTACATATATTTTAGTAGAGAGGTTTTGGCTCTTAACAAACTTACTTATGCCAAATTTCATCGTTGTATTCGTATTTTTAAGCCACTAATGGGCATTAAAGTCATTTTCTGATGGGGACTTTATATGGGGAGTAGGGTTAATTATGGACCGATCACTTACTTATGTCAAATTTCATTTCTATACTTGTACTTTTAAGTCAGTTATGAGAGTTCGAGTAATTTTCCGAAGGGGACCTTATAGGAGGTTAGGGTCAATTATAGACCGAGCCACATATAATTTGGTAGAGAGGTTTTGGCTCGTATGCCAAATTTCATCGTTGTACTCATATTTTTAAGCCAGTAATGGGCGTTAAAGTAATTTTCTGAAAAACACCTTATATAGGGGGTAGGGTCAATTATGAACCGATCCACATAAAATTTTATAGAGAGATTTTGACTTGAAAGTGACTTACTTTTGTCAAATTTAATCGCTATACTCGTATTTTTGAGACAGAAATGAGTGTTAAATTCATTTTCTGAAAGGGAAATTATATAGGGGTTAGGGTCAATTATAGATCGATCCTCATAAAATTTGGTAGGAAAACTTATGAATTGTTGAATTTCATCGCTATACTAACACTTCTAAAACATAAGTCTGTTTTCGGTGGTCCACACAGAGGGAAAAGGAAATATACACGCCTGGTACCAAATTGACACCAAATAGTTTATAATTTTTCAATAACATCCGTTGTCAAAGTTTATACATACGAACGACAACACTATGTAATTTTGAAAATGCAATGTTGTCAATATTGCAACAATTCGTTGTCGAAATCTAAATTTTATACACATCCGTTGTCTAAATGTTAACAAACGTGGTAAGCTCACTATTGGCAACGGATTGTTTGTCAATAGTGAGCTTACCACGTTTGTTAACATTTAGACAACGAATGTGTATAAAATTTAGATTTCGACAACGAATTGTTGCAATGTTGTCAACATAACATAGTGTTGTCGTACGTATGTATGTATATAATTTGACAACGGATGGTATTGAAAAATTATAAACAGTTTGATGTCAATTTCGTACCAGGCGTGTATATTTCTTTTTCCCTCTGTGCACTTGTATGAGAGCTATCCGAAAACGCGGACCCATTTTCAATACTAAACAAACACTGCTTATAGAGAATATTTGTAGAAAATTTCAACCCTCATTCAGTTCGGACTCTATCGTGTTTTCAACAGACAGACGGACAGACATGGCTAGATCGTCTTAGAATTAAATAAGAACACAGAATATATGTACTTTTGTGGGGCTATGACCAATATTTCGATGTGTTATAAACGGAGTAACAAAATCAAAATGAGAACCTATAAAAGGGAACATTTTGGTACTTTTTCAATTTTCAAAGGGTACTTTTTGAGTTTTCTATAATAATGAAACTGGAATAAGAAATTAACCATGTAGATCCCAAAGTAAATAAGAGCCTATAAAAGACAACATTTTGATATTTTTCGATCTTGAAAGGTACTTTTTGAGTTTTCTATAACTTATATAAGTGTACTTTTTGGTAGCTTTTCGGAATTCAAAATTTTTATAATATTGAATCAAGAAACATAAAATCATACATACATTCAAATCTATAAAAGGGGACTTTTTGTACTTTTTCGTTTTTCAATTTTTTTGGAATATAATACGTAGTGACTGTAACATTATGATGAAGGGTATATAAAATTCTTTCTTATTTTCGATAAATTTTGTTCTTGTAGAAAATATTCGATAAATCTAGTTTTTAAAGAAACTTTTGCGAAAAAGTTTGTTTTTATAGAAAATTTTAGATAAATCTTACTTTTATAGAAAATGTATAATCAAAATGTTCTTTTTTTATAAAATAAAATTTTTTTATATAAAATTTTTCTATTTAAATGCACACATTTAGGTAAATTAAAATTTAATTTGTACTGTGTTTTTTTTTTTAACAGAAAGGACACTTTGCCTTTCAACACTTATCTTCTAAGTAGTTTTAATAATTTAATCTACTTCAATTTCTTCTAATTTATTATATATTAGGGGTTTATTAAAACCCTTTATTAATACCTTTAGCTTAAATATTAATAATACCGTACGCATTTTCAATTAGTATAATAGACTAAAGGTTAAATAATTAAAAAAAGAAGGGCAACAACAGGAGTAAATAAAAAAATTAATAAATTAAGCAAATGTAGCAATCTCTACTTTTTATATGAAAACTTAAGTATTAAGTTAGCTTCTACTGTATTGGTTATTGTTATATTTTATTGAAAACAAAAACGTATAGATGGCTACATTTGCTTCTAAGCCTCTTCTAAATATTTTTTATGCTCCAAAAGGAAAAAAAAAACGACAACCTTAAAAAAATCCTCATGATTAAGCAAAAGAAAAACCTAAAAAACATTTAGTACTTAAAGAATCAACAAAAATTAAGCTTGAAATATTAAATTAAGACAAAAAAGGGTCAAATATTTTCTTACACTCGAAATATGATAAAACCTAATAACATTAAAATTTTTTATATATATTTTTTCATCTTACGGTAAGAAATATTTAACATATTTTTTAAGCAAAATATTCTACTCTTTCCTCAGATTATTAAAATAAAAATTGCTTTAAAAAAAAAAAAAAAAGAAAATATGCTTAAGAAATTCGTTTGTTTTTATATTCATTTACATTTTTACGTTGGTATTTTATTTATATTTTATTTTACATCTTATAGATTTAACAACGTTCATTAAGCTACTGGAACAACCCAATTACACAACGTTGGTGAAAACCTTAAATGCTGGCATTAATCTAGATGATGATAATGATGACCTTGTTGAAGGAGCTTTCTTTAAGCCACAACAACATCAACGTAATCATCAACCGACAGAGCCACACAAAAACCAGCCATCAAACAAAGAATCACAGGAAAATCAAACTAAAGATGAAGACATGAATATGGTTGAAAATAAAAATGAAAAAGTAAAACTAAAAGATAATGAAAATAAAAATTATGAGGATTTACAAAATCAAAAACATTCACAAGCAACAGCATCAGCATCAGCATCAGCAGCAGCTTCATCTTCGATGGCAAGAAATGAAGCTGGTGGTTTAACAAAGGAATCTATAGAAGAGGAACAACAACAGCAAGATAAACATTTAAACATTGGTTATTGCCACTTGACTAAAGCTCTGGAGCGTGATTTTAATAAAACCGTTTTTCTCTGGCCATGTCCGCACATGAAAGTAAGTACAATATTTAAACGCAATAACTAAATAAAACAAAAACGAAAATATAATTTTCACGAAGTGAATGAGTCATAAGGAGATATAAAATTTTTAAATTATTGCTGAAATTGAGAAAAATGTTTTCGTTTAAAAACAAATAAAAAAATGTTTTAAGAAAAGTTTTGCAAAATTTTATTTTTATAGAAATTTTTCGGCAAAATAGAAAATATTCGATTGAATTTCTTTTTTTATAGAAAATTTTTGTCTAAATTTTCTTTTTATAGAAAATTTTCACCAAATTTTCTTTTAATATAGAAAATTTTCACTAAATTTTCTTTTAATATAGAAAATTTTCACTAAATTTTCTTTTAATATAGAAAATTTTCACTAAATTTTCTTTTTATATAGAAAATTTTCACAAAATTTTCTTTCTATATAGAAAATTTTCACTAAATTTTCTTTCTATATAGAAAATTTTCACTAAATTTTATTTTAATATAGAAATTTTTCACTAAATTTTCTTCTAATATAGAAATTTTTCACTAAATTTTCTTTTAATATAGAAATTTTTCACTAAATTTTCTTCTAATATAGAAATTTTTCACTAAATTTTCTTTTTATATAGAAATTTTCACAAAATTTTCGTTTTATATAGAAAATTTTCACTAAATTTTCTTTTTATATAGAAAATTTTCTCTAAATTTTCTTTTTATGTAGAAAATTTTCACTAAATTTTCTTTTTATATAGAAAATTTTCACTAAATTTTCTTTTTATATAGAAAATTTTCACTAAATTTTCTTTTATATAGAAAATTTTCACTAAATTTTCTTTCTATATAGAAAATTTTCACTAAATATTAATTTTATATAGAAAATTCTGACTAAATTTTCTTTTTATAGAAAATTTTCACCAAATTTTCTTTTAATATTGAAAATTTTCACTAAATTTTCTTTTAATATAGAAAATTTTCACAAAATTTTCTTTTAATATAGAAAATTTTCACAAAATTTTCTTTTTATATAGAAAATTTTCACAAAATTTTCTTTTTATATAGAAAATTTTCACTAAATTTTCTTTTTATATAGAAAATTTTCACTAAATTTTCTTTTTATATAGAAAATTTTCACTAAATTTTCTTTTTAAATTTTCACAAAATTTTCTTTTTAAATTTTCACAAAATTTTCTTTTTGTATAGAAAATTTTCACAAAATTTTCTTTTATATAGAAAATTTTCACAAAATTTTCGTTTTATATAGAAAATTTTCACAAAATTTTCTTTTTATATAGAAAATTTTCACAAAATTTTCTTTTTATATAGAAAATTTTCACAAAATTTTCTTTTTATATAGAAAATTTTCACAAAATTTTCTTTTTATATAGAAAATTTTCACTGAATTTTCTTTCTATATAGAAAATTTTCACTAAATATTAATTTTATATAAAAAATTCTGACTAAATTTTCTTTTTATAGAAAATTTTCACCAAATTTTCTTTTAATATTGAAAATTTTCACTAAATTTTCTTTTAATATAGAAAATTTTCACAAAATTTTCTTTTAATATAGAAAATTTTCACAAAATTTTCTTTTTATATAGAAAATTTTCACAAAATTTTCTTTTTAAATAGAAAATTTTCACAAAATTTTCTTTTTATATAGAAAATTTTCACAAAATTTTCTTTTTATATAGAAAATTTTCACAAAATTTTCTTTTTATATAGAAAATTTTCACTAAATTTTCCTTTTATATAGAAAATTGTAACTTAATTTTCTTTTTATATAGATAATTTTCTCTAAATTTTCTTTTTATATAGAAAATTTTCACAAAATTTTCTTTTTATATAGATAATTTTCACTAAATTTTATTTTTATATAGAAAATTTTCACTAAATTTTCTTTTTGTATAGAAAATTTCCTTTAATATAGAAAATTTTCACAAAATTTTCTTTTTATATAGAAAATTTTCACTAAATTTTCTTTTTATACAGAAAATTTTCACTAAATTTTCTTTTTATATAGAAAATTTTCACTAAATATTATTTTTATAGAAAATTTTCACTAAATTTTCTTTATATAGCAAATTTTGTTTAAACTTCTTTTTATAGAAAATTTTTGGTTAACTTTTTTTTACAGAAAATTTTCACAAAATTTTCTTTTCACAAAATTTACTTTTTACAGAAAATTTTTACTAAATTTTCTTTTTATAGAAAATTTTCACTTAATTTTCTATTTATAGATAATTTTCATTAAATTTTCTTTTTATAGAAAATTTTCTCTAAATTTTCTTTTTATAGAAAATGTTCTCTAAATTTTCTTATATAGAAAATTTTCACTAAATTTTCTTTTTATATAGAAAATTTTCACTAAATTTTCTTTTTATATAGAAAATTTTCACTAAATTTTCTTTTTATATAGAAAATGTTCACTAAATTTTCTTTTTATATAGAAAATTTTCACAAAATTTTCACAAAATTTTCTTTTTATATTGAAAATTTTCACTAAATTTTCTTTAGTGACTGTTTGTCAGTCTGTTAGTCTGTTAGTCTGTTAGTCTGTTAGTCTGTTAGTCTGTTAGTCTGTCAGTCTGTCAGTCTGTCTATCTGTCTGTTAAAGACAATATATAGAGTCCGAACGGAATAAGCCAGAGGGTTTAAATTTTCCACAAATATTCTTTATAGGTAAGGTTTGTTTGGTATTGAAAATGGGTGCGGGTTTTTGTGGATCGGTCTATAATTGACCCTACTCCCCATATAAGATCCCCTTCAAAAAATGGCTTTAACGCTCATTACTGGCTTACTAGCCAAAACTTCTCTACCAAATGTTATGTGGATCGGTCTATAATTGACCCTACCCCCCATGTAAGGCCCCATTCAGAAAATGACTTCAACGCTCATTACTGGCTTAAAGATACGAGCACAACGATGAAATTTGACATTAGTAAGTTTCTTAATAGCCAAAATCTGTGTACTCTACTTTAAAGCTCATTACTTGCTTAAAAATACGAGTAAAACGATGAAATTCGACACATGTGGGTTTTATACGAGTTAAAATCTCTCTATCAAATTTATTGAGAATCGGTGCATAATTGACACCACCTAAATGTAGAGTCAGTCTATAGTCTAGTCTATAGTCTAGTCTATAGTCTAGTCTATAGTCTAGTATATAGTCTAGTCTATAGTCTAGTCTATAGTCTAGTCTATAGTCTAGTCTATAGTCTAGTCTATAGTCTAGTCTATAGTCTAGTCTATAGTCTAGTCTATAGTCTAGTCTATAGTCTAGTCTATAGTCTAGTCTATAGTCTAGTCTATAGTCTAGTCTATAGTCTAGTCTATAGTCTAGTCTATAGTCTAGTCTATAGTCTAGTCTATAGTCTAGTCTATAGTCTAGTCTATAGTCTAGTCTATAGTCTAGTCTATAGTCTAGTCTATAGTCTAGTCTATAGTCTAGTCTATAGTCTAGTCTATAGTCTAGTCTATAGTCTAGTCTATAGTCTAGTCTATAGTCTAGTCTATAGTCTAGTCTATAGTCTAGTCTATAGTCTAGTCTATAGTCTAGTCTATAGTCTAGTCTATAGTCTAGTCTATAGTCTAGTCTATAGTCTAGTCTATAGTCTAGTCTATAGTCTAGTCTATAGTCTAGTCTATAGTCTAGTCTATAGTCTAGTCTATAGTCTAGTCTATAGTCTAGTCTATAGTCTAGTCTATAGTCTAGTCTATAATCTAGTCTATAGTCTAGTCTATATTCTAGTCTATAGTCTAGTCTATAGTCTAGTATATAGTCTAGTCTGTAGTCTAGTCTACATTCTAGTCTATAGTCTATTCTATAGTCTAGTCTATAGTCTAGTCTATAGTCTAGTCTATAGTCTAGTCTATAGTCTAGTCTATAGTCTAGTCTATAGTCTAGTCTATAGTCTAGTCTATAGTCTAGTCTATAGTCTAGTCTATAGTCTAGTCTATAGTCTAGTCTATAGTCTAGTCTATAGTCCAGTCTATAGTCTAGGCTATAGTCTGGTTTGTAGTCTAATCTATAGTCTATTATATAAACTTCGTCCATGAATTCATTATTCACGTTATAAATTCGTCTATTACACTCATATGATAAGCTCGGCTTAAATTTTGTCGATAATCTCTTCAAGTTGGTCAGTCATTGGATCTTTTATAAACTCATCTTTAAACTTGTCGTCTTATGGTTACATCTGAAGTATTCTTTATAATGTCGTCTGTAAATTTGTCTTGTTGTAAACTTGTCTATATTGATAGTTATGGTAACAGAATATTTATATGTACATATGACAAAATTGTTGTATAAATGCACCGATATATTTTTCCTTTGTATTAACAATGTAATTATAATATTATATTTATATTATGAATTATTATAACCCTCTAAATATTAATTGAAATTAATTTTCTTAATTAAGTATCAACAATGCAAACTGATGACTGAATTCTCATTTTTCCCCTATTCAAAAATGTTTGCAACACACATTTCATGATTAACTTTAAAATACAAAATTAAAAAAAATCGTATAATTTACTTCATTATTTTAGGGGAAAGTCCGAATACTAGCAATGGGGGCAATGATGATGTAAGGAATCTAAAAACAGCTGCAGAAATTCTGTGCAGTTGAAGTGCTTTAAATTATTTAAGAAGCTTTTTAACACACAACTAAAAGCAATCACAATCATGTTTTTTACGATCATACCCTAAAGTAAATGGTCAATATTATATTTTTATACCCACCATCAAAAAAGATGGGGGTATATTGTTTTTGTCATTCCGTTTGTAACACATTGAAATATTCGTCTAAGACCCATAAAAGTATATATATTCTGGGTCCTTATAAGATTCTAAGACGATCTAGCCATGTCCTTCCGTCTGTCCGTCTGTCCGTCTGTCTGTCTGTCTGTCTGTTGAAAACACGATAGAGTCCAAATGGAAGCAGCTAGCAAGCTGAAATTTTGCACAGATACTTTTAGTTGATGCAGTTTGTTTGGTATTGAAAACGGGCAATATCGG